CACTGTTTGAGTGCTCTATACCGAGTGTGGTAGACTTAAGTATGTATGCGCGTACCGCTTTACGCAACGCGGGTAACGCACGCCGCTTAGGCGGTTGATTAACAATCATTCTAATTAAAGGACTCACTCTATTGTCACCCACTCAACAATACACTTGTGTTTTTATTCTATGCTCACCTTCTTACAGTAATAGTTATAATCAGTGTTAAGTAAAGGTATGTATACCACTTATTATATGGCGAGTCCGACAAAAAGAACCGTGATTTATTTCTTGTGATTTTATAAAGAACAAGTGAACATTAACAATTATTCAAACAAAATAGTGTTTATGAACATAAAATTATTGAAGCAAAATGAGTTTATAATCATTTTCATATGTGAACATTAATAATTAAGATAAAAATGGTGTTTATGATCATTGGTGCAATCGGTCTAACATTAACTGCTGCAACATTTTTGGGATCATCGCTTTCCAACTGGTTATTTAACCCTTAACCGCACAGGCTAAAACAGTAACGTAAGCGCACAGGTGGGGTCTTTTTGGACCCATGAGAAATTTCATACAAAACTTATGCAAAATGGTATCCAATGAGTAAAATATGTCATTTTATAGTTAAACCATAGCTTATTCCTTACTTTCCAATACAGCATCACAATTTAATATTGATTTTTATGGGAAAAAAAATCAATTATAGCCAAAATGCTTGGTAGTTATTGATATGTACGACTTTCAGACAGTCGTGTCTTTCACTAATATCGCTAATCGACAGTCGTTGGCCAGTTAATGTGCTTCGTGTACTGCGCCGAACTACCTCTCGATATGTGAGATCAATATAGATCGAGTCTCGAGACTGCTTCCCGAAGGGCGATCGCACTTTAAACACTGTAGCTCTCTGGCATTTATAAGTTCAACCCTATGTAAACATTTTTCCTTCCTCTTCTTCTGCATTTGCAAGAAGCATGTGTGATATATCAGCTTAACTCTGAGACACCAGGTGGCAGCACATTTGCGTGATCGAAACCAATTACATTGCTTTATATGGAGTGCGATGAAATCGCGCTGCTTCCGTTCTTCCTCCATACTTGGCAAACATGTTGTTAGACGTTCGCAACAAGGCAAACCCTGCCACACCAGCAACGTTCACCAAATTCACGAAATATGCCCATACATTGTGTTTTGGATAGGATAGATCCGTAAGATCTCCGCAAGAGCTGGATCTAAGCGTGCGTAGGCCGCCGCATGATACATACTTTGATTGGCACGCCTGCTTTGATTTGCGCGTCGAAGCAACACAGAAAAACGAACGAATATATCATGCGGCGGCGTATGCACGCTTAGATCAAGCTCTTGTGGAAATCTTACGGATCTATCCTATCCAAAAAAAAAACAATGTATGAATATATATTATATTGGCCCATACAGAATACATCATTTCCCATACAAAATACTTTGGGGTCCAAAAGACCCCGTTGTGCTTTTACGTTAGTATTTTGTATAAGACTTCCCAAAACTTCATCTATGCACCAAACATTGAAATTTTTGATTTTATCACATAGATATGATATTAAAAAAGAAAACGCTCAGCGAAATTTTCCAATTTTTTTTTATATTTTTGTGATTTTTTCAAAAAACTAACTCTTAGGGCCTAAGAGACCCCACGTGTGCGTTTGAGGGTTAATAAAGACGATACAAAGTTAGAAAACACAGTGAAAAATGACATATCGATTATGAGATCAGAAGTGCATGGTGAAAACATTCTGGAAATAGCAGCCATTGTAATGATTGATCTAATTCGAACTAATGTGAGGTGGCGCTGATCAGCTGCGTTCGCATAAAAAAGTTCCCAATCTCATATACGCCAACCCCGCTTGATAATAAGATATTGACGTACATGATGTATAAGTTTTTTATCAAAATTAGATGAACTCAGCAACAACAACCATGGGCTGGAGAAAGGAAATGAACCAAATGCTCGTTGCATTCGAACGTCAAGCCCACCATACTTTGGGCAATATAAGATTGGCTTTCAATGGTCTGTCATTTGATCCGAATTTTAAGCAGTACTTTTTAAGACGTCACACGGTACGCATAGTTTTATTCTCTTCTAATTAAAAATAAATCGCAATAAGTATCAATTAAGTCTCTTAAATTTGTTTTAACAATAGATTGGAGGCAACCTATCTTCAATTTGAAATAAGTTTAAAGCTCGAAAAAGAGTTGCCAATAATATCTGTGGAATCAATCAAAGTCCATGACTCAAGTGATGAAGAAGACACCAGTGGAGCAACCAATCGAAGCACCACAAATATATCAACTCAGATGGTTGTAAATGCTGCTTTCCCTTCTGTTTCCTACGAGAGTGATGCTGGAAGTAGTATATTGGCAAAATTGACCAGCGATCGTAATGAAACTCACATTGCTTCAACAACAATTAAAAGACGAAGTTTTGGAAATGCACCAATTCCTGATCATCAGTAAGATTGAGTTTAAATATTTGTACCAAAAAACGTCAATTTTAACTTTTATCTCCTTCTTTCAGACCCAATGACACCATTGGTGTAACCCAAGCTGGTTCATCAATGGCAGAAAAGTCGATTGTGAATGGCAATGGTCTTGATTTGGTCAACAATGGAACTATCGCGTCGAATGGTGCTGCTTCCAACGAATTTGTTCATAGTTTCAAAATGGTACTCCTGTTATAAGACTTCAGATAGTCGATGATAATTAGAATGAGCGGCAAAACAAGACAAACAGCTTGAAAACGAATGCACGTAAAGATGACCAAAGCAATGATAATACGGACACAGTTCCCAATATGGTGAACGTTGGTACAACGCGACAGTCAATACCATCAAACCAATTGGTAATGATGAAACGATTCAAGTGCGAATTGTGTCAATATTCCACCAATCAGAAGTAAAACATTGATCGACAAAAACTTACTCATACCAGCCATAAAAAACATCGCTGTGAAATTTGCATGAAGTCTTTTAAAGGAAAATATTATATGAAAATTCATTTGAAAAACATCTACAAAATCAACCAATGAATTCACATAAAATTCAAGTTAAGATATGACCTTTATACGACGTTTCGACTTATACTGAAATGCATTTAGTTTCTAGCGGGATGAAGAAAAGAGATAAAAAAAAAACAACAAAGAATTTATCTGTGTTTTCATGCTTTAATCATAATCACTCATTTTGTATTTTTCAATTACAAATCACATGTTGCTTTCTATACAAAGCAGAAGGCTTTTGTACGAAGTAAAATAAAAATATTGTGTTTTTATCAAATTTCTTATTGTTGTTCCATCATCAAAACAACGTAAGAAGAAATTGTCGTCCTGCCGTCTGAATGAAACAAGAAAATTTCCTTTTCAAATCACATTTGTCGAGATGCAGTAAATGAAATATTCAGTTTAAATAACAAACCTATGATATTCTGAACAAATAGAAATATAAAGAAAGATTGGATTCAGTGATCTTGTTCAGTATCATGATTGTTATTTTCTTAATTGAAAAAAGTATGAAACTTTTATTTTGTTTTTCAACATTAATACACTTTATTGGTATCAAAAATACTCATATACGTATTTCGGAAACAATGCTTCCTTCTTCAGTGAGTTAGATGAACAAACTGATTTTTAAAAACAAAAATGAATTGACAACAAAAACAATGGTATATTGTAAAAAGTAAATAAAAACTATTTACAATAAGAATAATCAAAGTTAACCAAGAACTACACATCAAATTTGCCAAAAATGGAATTATAGATCGGTCCGTTATTTTCTTACCATGCGATTGGCATGTTGCACGATTCCCCTTTTAGGCCCTGTTCGGATGAAAAAATTCATTGTGATCAAAATGATTTTGTCATTTATGAATAAATTAGAGTGTTTAAATCTCTTACCGGATAACCAGGTAAACCAGGTAAACCAGTATCACCTACACGCACATATAAAAAGCACAGAATATAGAGTAAACATCAAAATAAAATTTATCGAATTTTAATGTTTTGCTTCAAGCCCATTGAATTGGGTTTACAATGGAGTTTCGGAATTTTCGTTCACAATTTCAATTGGCATGTGATTAAAGTATTTTAAATCATTTACCTTTGTCTCCCTTTAGTCCTGGGTAACCTATTTAACAATGCATATTTTAATTGGTTGGTCTACTTTTTTCACAACAAAAAGTATTTTCGGTTTCAGGTCAACGTACCTGGCATACCCGGTAACCCTGGATGGCCCTCATTTCCTACACACGCATAAAAACAGAATGATTATTAAAATAAAATCAAATGAACATGCTTCAGTTCAAATTGATAATGAAAAACACTTGAAAGTTGGGCTGCACATTCGCACCAAATTCACAGATTAATTTAAATTGATATCAAAACATTGAATTTATTTATCATTTACCTTTTTCTCCCATTAGTCCCGGGACTCCCGGGTAACCTATTTAAGAAAGCATATTTTGATGAAATGAATTGATTATTGCACGTTTTTTTTTGTTTTAAATATTTATCATCCCGACCAATACACTCAGTTTTCGGGCGATACGGTGCCGTGCGGCAATATCTTCCATATATAGTGGATCGATATAGTGTAGATATCGACACTATTTAGTGCTATTTCTATGTATTATGGACACACTGATATCATCACGTCGGGTTCAATTTAAAAAAAAAATCTCACCTGGTCTGCCCGGTAGTCCTGGTGGACCGGCTATTGAGGACATCTGCTTAATCTGTTCAAGTTGCTCTAATAAAAAAACAATTGAAGAAAAATTACAAAAATGACTCGAAAAAATCGATTTTCAAGAATTGAATTTTGCTACCTTTTACGACATTTTCGCAAATTTCACGAACATCTTTCTCAGTCATTACATCAGCCGAAACGAAGCCCATAAAAAATAAACCTCCAAATAATATCAACCTATTACAGAAAAAGTTGCGAAATATATATTAAAAAACTTTAGACTTTTTTTGAACAACACTCACTTTAACATCATTCACGTCTTCTTGCTTCGAATTTTATAATTGATATCCAACAATGCTTGTAGTCGTGGCACAGGAACCATTCAAACTGTGTTCCAATGTGAAATTTTCATTATTTATACAATAGCCGAATTCTCTTTTAATTCCACCAGTTTGAGATATCATTATCAAGCGATTTCAAGCTAAATTTCCAAACCCACGCAACTCTTCTTTTGCGGGTGTATTTATTAGTTCATATATTCGCGTTTTGTTATCATTTTTGTTTTTTTTTTAAGCTTTGACGAAATTAAGCTGAAATTTCCGTTTCAGTCGTGATTGGACTCAGAATTTAGATAAAATATGAAATCTTATGAAAGCTTATGCAAAAATTGACCTTTTATTTACATTTAAATTCTCAGAAGAAACAAAAAACAAATGTTCAACAAACAAATTCAAGGCCATCTCGAATTGAAGATTATGATTTGAATTAGGATGATGATAGAATGTTTTTCTTATTTTATTTCACAATTAAATAAAATTCTACGTTTTTTTGTACTCGCTCGTTTCCATTTAACGTAACTTGTGATAATAATGTGATTTTTGGAAACGTTTTTATTAAAGACATTTGACTTTTAATTGATTACAGTCAGTCGTTGGTAGTTGATAAAAAAATAAATATTATTGTGCCGAAGTACACTTCAAGTTCATAGATAGCAATTATTCTCTAGACATTTAGATAAATGAGGGCAAAGATTGAACCATGCTCTTTATTCAATATGGAAATAAGTGAGATGAAGATAAAGAACTAACTCTTTAAGGTCAACGGGAACATGCCATTATTTTCTTCAGTGAGAAAAAACATCAAAAAAGCATTAATGCTTGGAAACTGAAAAATTACGATCGATTTTCAATAACATTTTTTTTTTAAATCGCTCAAGTTTAATGACATAAACTTCCTAAATTATTGCTTCAGTCTAATTTGTTTTATTTGGTCACTTCCTTTTCGTTCTTTGAAATTTCGCGCGAAACACTTTCGCTTTTCGTTTGACAATTGATTAGTTTTCTGTCTCATGGTGTGATAAGCGAAGATGGCGCACTATCATCGACGCTTGTCACGAATCATTTGTCTAAGGCTACTATTGCACAGTTCATCTCCTGATATTTCATCACCATACATTTTTTTGCGCAGATTAAAATTTTCGATCGATTCCACCATCCGTGGTCATTAATTTAAAGTAATTGAAGTAAAATCCAACAATTGAATTCCAAAACCTTAGCTCATTTACAAAAAAAATTCAATTCTACGGCGAATTTAATAAGCAGACAGTTTTCTTGACAAACACACTGAGGTGAGTAGAATTTTTTTTTTCGCGGTCCATTGAGTGAAATGTTACCATTCTCGTGAACATACTCAAAAACACATTTTTCTATTTTATAAATGATTAAGTTTCTGTTGCATTCTGATGCTTATAGGAACAATGCAAATAAATCAAAATATATGCCAAACATATTTCAGCGCTGTAAAAGTCGCTGATTTCAAACTGACAATATAATTTATTGCTATTTTAGGTCATTATCTGGTAACGCTTGTTACCTTGAATAAGTTTGATTTTCTTTTCACGTATTCTGCACAAAAACTGGGAATCACTGTATCTAATGCAATGAAATTTTCCAAAAAATCGATCATACTGTATGAGTATGATACAATACAAACATACAACATTTTCAATTCTTGGAAAGAGTTCAATATGGCGTCTATGCTCAATAGCCACTAAACATACATACAAAGAAATAATGACGTGTTCGATTTGCATACAGTTTTTTTCACGACTGTACATTTGAAGACTTGGTTTTCCCATTTTTTTCTATAAACGATCGAAAAGTTTTCTTTCGCAAGTAATACTTGTCTTGAAATTATATTTCAAGGAAAATTCAACTCTGAATTAAATTCCACATCGCATTTCTTTTCATTCACAGTTATTGTACAATTGAATTCAAAATGGCCCAAAGCACCGATCAAAATGTTCCGGTCGAGCAACAAGTGACCAAACTGTACGAGCTTCAGTTGCGCGACAAGGCCAGTTCTGTTCTTTACCTGAATACGAAAACGTTTGACGTTAAGTTTTTGTTTTTCGAACAAAATACCGCCGATGTTGCCGAGAAAAAACTCATTGAAGAGGTACCGGCTCACAAGGCAATTTTGGCTGCGGTAAGTCCAGTATTTGATGCTGAATTCTTCGGTTCAGTCAAGGAAAAAGGTGACGTTGAAATCGTCGATTCATCGCCGGAGGCGTTTAAAGAATTTTTAAAGTGTTTTTACTTCGGCACTGTCACATTCACAATGAAAAACATCCCGGAAATCATGAATTTGGCCAACAAATACGATGTCGCCGACTGCATGGGTGCATGTGCCAAATTTCTTATGGACAATTTAACATCGAATGATATTTGCTGGGTCTATGAATTGGCCATGTTGCACGTGCATCAAGAATTGAAAAAATTCTGCGATGAATTCATCATTTCGAACGCAAGCACAGTGCTAAAATCGGAGGAATTTCTCGCGTCTAGTCAAAAATTGTTACGTGAAATTCTGATTTTGGACCTTTGTTGTAAAGAAACAGTCGTCTTCGATCAATGTATGGCTTGGGCAAAAAACGCATGCCAACAAAGCGGCATAAATGCAAATGTTGCATCGAATTTACGAGATCAACTGGGCGATTGCTTGTACTTGATTCGATTCGGATTAATGACAATTCAAGAATTTTCGGAAGCCACACTCAACTGCGAAGGAATTTTTACACTTGATGAAATGGGCGATATAATGCGTTCGATATCGTTGAAAGGATTTGTTTCGAAGAAGTTCCATCAAAATCCGCGATGTTACTGGGATCAAAGCAAAGTTTGGATATGTAAGCCTAACCATTGGAGCCACGAAAAACAAATTCAAGAACGTGAAATTGTCTTCATTACATCAAATAGAACTACGTTGCTCGGGAGAGTATTTTTTGCAGCCGTATTTAGCAATAGCCACCATGGTATATTGAATGCCAAAGTCACCATTGTGGAGATACAAGGCCAATCATTTGCTGCCGAAAACGGGACCATTCTATTCCAAGACACACAGTCCCTTTCCCAAAATACAACAAATTACATCAAGCTACCGATCCCAATCGTTATCAATAGGAACAATACATATCAATTGTGTTGTGAATTTGGAAATAAAAACCATTCGAAATATTTTTACGGATGCAAACTTGGTGAAGTCACATTAAAGAATGGCCTTATCATTACATTTGAAAAGGGCAGTGGTCACGAGCATATGATTAAACGCTTGGAAGTAATCGACAACTAATCGAACAGTTCGAGATTCCGTTGGAGATTTGATTAGGTTTACGACAAAAAAACTAACATTTTCTGCCATTTAAAACTTCACATAAACAATCATCAAAACAAATTTATTTAAAATAATGAAATTCGCTTAAAATTCGCAATGCATTTCAATACAGTTTTCCATTCATTTTTGTATTAAACGAAAAGTTAAATAAATCAACAATTATATTAATTTCTTTGGTGTTGATCTGTCATTTATACTCTTGGTCTTTGATTGCTGAGTCATTTATTGCCATTTTCCAAAACAATTGGGTAAGAAATCTCATTCAAAATTAACTTTTAAACAGGCTCCCAGAAAGTACATGAAGTATCTATTCCAGTGGTTCCCAAGTCAGTTAGACTCGCGGCCCATTCAGTGAAAAGTTACCATTTTCGCAAACATACTCAAACATATTTTTTAAACAAATGATGAAGTTTTTGCTGCATTCTGATGCTTATAGGAACAATGCAAATAAATCAAAATATATGCGCTCTAAAAGTCGCTGATGTCAAACTGACAACATTATTTATTACTATTTTGAGTCGTTGTCTAAAAAATAATCTGGTAACGATTAAAAAATAATCTGAATAAGTTTGATTTTCTTTTCAATAGAAAATCTTGTTTACACGTATTCTGCACAAAAATGATTTTTTTTTCGTTAAATTTTCATTATTTGTACTTTGATATGCTCGTGGACCAACTGTCTTAGCTGTCACTTTTTCTTAGCTGCACATTGAATTTATAAAATAAATTCAACAGTAATTCATCGAAATTTTGATCATAAAATAAAATAAACTAGCTGAAGAGACCAACCGGCTAAGCCTATGAAGAGACAAAATGCGAATTCCCCTCATCTGTGCCATCTTGTATTCCATAGTTGAACTCAATTTAGTTACAATGAATTGAATCGAAAAAGAGAAAAAAAAACAACAACAGTAACATGGCTACATAGATCTGTTGACCAGTGAGATACGAATAACAATGGAATGAAAGAATGAAGAAAGCGTATGTGTATGTATGCATCAGCACGCATAGATGTACAGCTCTATGTGGCCGTGCTATTGTTGTTGTTTTTTCTCTTTTTCATTTCAATGCTACAGAATTAAATTCAGTTTTTCGATCTAATTCGAACTAATGTGAGATGGCGCTGATCAGCTGCGTTCGCATAAAAAAGTTCCCAATCTCATATACGTCAACCCCGCTTGGAAGAGACAAAGCAAACCGTCTTTTATTTCCACAAGGTGCTTCCTTTGAGGACTGATAATTGGTAGAATTAAAAAATTCAAACACAAAGTTCATCAAGCTACTACCTCTACTACTGATTGAATCCCAATCATCCTCTCTGAAAATTGACTGAAAAACTACAACGAAACACATAAACATAAAGCCACAAAGAAGATCACATGGACCCCTTTTCATTCCAAATCAAAGTACAATGTTTTGGATTTTCTCATAATGATTTTATTTTAATTTCAATGTCAAATTGACAGGTTACTCCACGATCACAATGATCCCTACAAACTAGATGATTTTTTTTTTATTTTTTTCATTTAATTTCAAATCAAATCAATCGTATAGATGTATGTTTTTAAGAAAATGTACGAAGAAGTCGTTCAAACCGAGTCGAATGTTCTAACAGACAAATGGTTTTTTATGTTGACCATAAAGAGAATTGTTGTTGGAATGGTGCTGCTAACTGGCTGTGTTGTTGTCCTTCTTCTTCTTCTTCTTTCTTTGCAACTTGCAAATCGTTGATTTTGTTGTTGTTTGATACATTCAGATTGGCTGTGTCCGTGTACAAAAAGCGGTCGTCGTTGATATCTAGTAGTGGATGTTTACTCTGAAAGGGAGAACAAAATACGATGATCAATGGCATAAAAGGAATAGAAACAATGTACATATCGACGCAAATATGAAACAAATCTGCGCAAAATCATCAACACACAGTCAGCAGTCACTGTCAAGACCAATGTATAGATTGTGTGTTTTGTTTACTGTGAAAAAAATCGACTTCCCGTTAGTCGATGCGAACGCAAGACTGAATGATGTTTATTGTTTGCACACGGAGTTTTTGCGTCGCAAAAGTGTGAATTTTACCACTGTCTCTCGAATATCGGAAAATAATGAAATTGGTACTTACCGATATTATTCTTTGTCCCATTGGAGGGAAACTGCCATTTTGCCACGCAAACTAGCCAAAATTTTCTTGTTGAACGTTTTGTAGCCCAGTTCTTTGGCAATTGTCTTCACTGCTTCTTTGTCACACTTTGTTATTTTCAGTTGCTTCATTATCTCATGAACTTTGCTAACATCAGGCATCTTTGACTTTTTCGATGATGCCATTTTCTTCGTTTTTTTCTTTCTTCGTAGAACGTGAAAATAAATAGTAAATTTTGAAAAGTTGATTTGAATGTTTTTAGCGGTGAACTCTAATTAAACAACAATTGGAAGAAGGGAAATGTTCGACACATCCAATTTAATCGAATGCGCAATTCGGAATGATTCACCTTTGACATTTGCACAAATAATATACGTGATGGCTTGTGAAGCGGATGCAGCGCCGTCAAACTGAACTGGACCACTACAACTACTTTGCCCAAGCAATTCTATCCATATTTGATGAGACAGAGACGAGTATATATTTTGTGTCGAAAAATTTTCATTTCAGAAAAAGAAATGATTTTTTCACAAAAATAAATTTATTGAGGTCGAGTTAATTGGATTTAATTAAGACGGATCAATTGTTATTCTTCCAACGATTCGCGCCAACTTATGGCGAAACTCACAAATATTTTGACAGCTACAACATAGAGATCATCATCCAACATTCATATCGCACCAATGCATTTGGCCCACTCCAATTCTTTCTTGTGTGAGTTGATACGTTCTGTTTGTCGGCGACTGCGATAGCATAAACACGTGTTTATTAGGTGCAGTAATTTTGCACATAAAGTTCACATTATTTTGATTTGATTTTCATTGAAAATTCGTTAAATTCTAAAAAGAAACTAAACAAATACACTCACTGTTGGTGATTGAAACAATAAGTTCAGCGAAACAAAATGGAAAAGAAAAGGAAGTAAGTAAATTGTTTGCCAATTGAACCATTGTACCGCATTGTACGGTTGTTGTTGTTGTAATGAAAAATTGCGTCGTAGAATTGTCTGTCATGAAATGGATTTATTCTGAACCACTTGTTGCCATTATTGGTTTTAGACTTTGTTTTGAATATAATTGTATGGAAATGCTGTGCCCACAAGACTAAATCACAATTATTTTTTGTTTAATATTTTCTAGGCGGCCAACAATGGGCCGCGTCGTTGACGATTTGGATCGCAGCACACCATCTCAGCTGGAATGTTCGGGAATGTCTATCGGGCACAGTGGCAGTGCGTGTTTAATTGATCCGACTGAGATCAAACAAGAGACATGCGAAGCCTGATCATGCCCATAGCTAACAACACCTCTAATGCGTATTCCGAGTACTAATTGACGTTTGTGACAATATGGCCGTCACGGTTTGGCAAAATCATAATGAATCGATTAAACTGCGTTAAACTGTTAAAATAAAACAGTAAAAATAAATAGATTTTAATTTTTTACATTTTTGAAAATAAAAAATCTTTTGTTTTTTTAATTTTGTGAGATTTTCTGTCCAAAATATTCAAAAATATCAAATTAATTAAAATGAATTGGTTGACATAACCTCACTTTTGTGTCACAATTGTGATAAACCGATTAAATAATTATTAAAACAGTAGAGATAAAAATATTTTAATTTTTTACATTTTTAAAAATAAAAATTCTTTGTTTTGTTTTGTAGTTTCCGGTAGTTTCGTGAGATTTACTGCACGATATTCAAAAATATTAAATTAATAAAAAATGAAGTGGTTGACACGGGTTGACATAACCTCACTTTTGTGTCATAATCGGTCACAATCATAATATGTAAACAGATTCACAGGGTGCCTAGAAAAGGCGAGAAACGTGTGTCATATTCCAGTATTGTTTTTCAGAGAACATTTGAAAATTACTGTGCCGTAATATTTTACGGCAATTTAATGGGTACAATGCGGTACAATGTAGTGTATATTTATCACAGTGGACAGCAGTTTTTTGTTTAAATTTTGTTTAAATTACATAATAGATTATCGAAACCGTCTTAGTCTTATTATTATATCGCAGTTTATACACGTAATTTCCAAATTCTAACCTAGGAGGCCTTTGGCCCCGATTTATGAATGGTTGATAAGCCCTTGGCCATAGAGTAAGAAAAAACATTGAAGTTTGAAAATCGGTATAAATGTGTATATTACACACCACTGAAAACTGGCCATTCCAACCAATTCCAACTATGAGCCACGATAAGCCATATTTATGGTATTTCGAGCCAAAAAAATAACCTTAAAGTCCAAATTTTATTGTATTTAAAAATTATTAAAATTCATGTGATATTTTGACTCTTTAGTTTGGAAAATTTCGCCCACAAAATTAGTAATATCAATTAAAAGACCTCTGTCCGCCTCTGTCGAAACCAATATTTGAAGCACAAAATTTTACGGCTAATTTAAATATCTTAATTCCTAATTTCAATCGATTTTAACACATTACCTACTGTTACCTGCGAATAGTAAAGTTTTTATAGTGAACTCCAAATTTAATTATTATAAAAACAATTACGTCTTTTATTTCTTACGGTTCACAAATCTAAAAAATTGCAAGCACTGAAAATTTAGAGAATTTGAATAAAAAACAATAAAAAATAAAACAAGAGCATTTCCGTTAACATCGTAGCAAAATATATTCAATTTTATTCGATTTTATTCAATCATATTCCGTCATATTCAATATAGACTTATAACCTAGTACATGTATTGCGATCAATTGCGATGTATTGTCATTATGTTTGTTCTGTTTTGTTTAATAAAAAAATCGAAAAAAAAAATCAAATGAAAAAGATTATCAAATTTGATTTAAACTACAACGATCTAAATATGATCACATATCGTCACATATGTTATGATTATTATAAATGAGTCATAATTAATAAAAACTACACCATTCTTACAAATAATACTATTTGAATTCTGTTCTATTGCCCGGAAAAAATATATAATCTGCGTAAAGATCTGCGCATGAGTAGCTGTTGTTGTTCCTTCATAGTCTTGCCTCTTGCAGCATTATTTGCAAAAGTGCGCGAATATTCGTCAATGATGAACTCGATGAAATCATCTTTATGTCTGGGACAATGCGTAAAGTCTGAATTTTCATATAATGGAATTTGAGAAAGATAGTTGCCAACAGACGTAAAAGCAGATTTATAATTGAAATTTATACAAAATCCCATCTTTTCAAATACTTTGTGTGTGACATTGCATATGAAGAATGTACTGACACATGGTCTACGTGTATCTGATATACTTTCAAAAAACTCTCCAGACATTTTGCGATTTTCACCTAGTACATTTTCACAAATCTCACACATATTTTGGCTGCCTTCAATTTTAAGTTCAATTCTTCCCGCGCGTAAAGCAATGGTCGCATCTTCAGGTGTCTTCATTGTATCTTCCAGTTTGAGCAAGTTCAAAAGTTCGTAGAGGTCCTCAGGTTGATCTTGTTGGAAGTCCATTTGAATTTCGTCAACATTATTATCATATTGGTTGTTATTTTTTTTCGCTGTACTCGATATGTTATGTATGTTTAAATTATCTTGAGTATTTGTAAATGCTGAACATTGTTTCAATCGCAAATATAACAGCTTTCGAAGAGCAGAGGCAAATTGTTGCGTGGTTGGATTATCATTCCATCCTCCAAGAAATCGTATTCTCGAGAAAAAGCTTTCAAGCATATCCTGAGACAGATAAAATACATCTAAAGACGGCAGGTCACCCGAAGCAACATATTTGGTATACATTTGCATGATGCTAATCATATTTATCATTAATCCAAGAAAGCCTGTTTTTCTTTGTGATTCGACACACCGTACTCGTCTGAATTTTAATGATTTCAAATATGGGATTACCTCTTCGTAGAACGAGAATATTGAATGCATATTTCTGTTGTATATTGCACTCTTAAAAGTTAAATATTCCAATACTTGTTTTGAATTCATTGAATCAAACAGTTTATTCATTGTTTGGATGAAAAAAATGGTTGATTCACATCCTGTAAATTTTTTGTCGTGTGTGCCCAACAAGTATTGCATTGATGATGCCACTCTGTTCGAAAAAGTTTGAACAGCCCATTTAACTTTCATTCTGTCTCTTGAATATTCAATATGTTTCTTGGTAAGACGATGGGTGATAAATTTGTTTCTATCACGATATTTTTCGAGCCTTTCTATGTATTTCCATTCAATTTTACCACACGATGGATGCTGTATATATTTTAAGTCGACCAAAGCATTTCGTACACATTTGATCATGTGGCAAGGATCAAATATGATAAATATTAAAAATGAAAACAGACCATCCAGTCAGTTATTGGTTTATTCAACTACGTTTTTTATTGAAAATCCGAGCTTTCGATCGTTGTTGTGATCTTCTTCAGGGCTAAAAATATAATACAACAAAGTTAACAAACTAGTTCCTCGACACATCTTATCAACAATAAATAGATCACAATAAATCCAAACTTACAAACAATGGTAACAGCAGTTTCAAAGTCAATTATGTCTTCTGTTGCAAACATTGCATGGTCAAAAATTAATGTAGTGCACATTAGATAGTAATAATAAATTTTTTTCCAAAAAACAACTCTAAGAAAATGTTGTATGCTGTACACATGTCAATAGTAATGAACTGTAAGCTAAACCATGCGCAAGTTAGACAACCTCAATATTGAAACGTCAATAGATGACTTTAAACAGATTTTAAAACCTAACAAAATCTTATGTTTTCAAACCAAAACCACTGATAATGTGTTTATCAAAGAAACTATATAACAAACAATCATAAACAAAAAACTTAACAAACTTTACAAAAAATGGGATCATACATGTCGCTAACGTTACTAGATTCCAAACTTCTTATATTAACACAATTTTTAGAATTCTTTATAAACAGTTCTTCTATATAGAATCTCTTTGACATATTACTACATTTAGCTAAGACTTTTGCGTTATCAAAATCAAATCGATGATTGTTATCAATGGCATGTTGTGCTAATGCACTTTTATAACGTTCATTGTTGACCACTGTTAATTCATGTTGTCTCAATCTCTTACTCAACCATTGAGCTGTATTCCCTATGTATTCCTTATCACGGCAATCCAAACATTTAATGGCATAAATTAATTTGCTTTGCGATCTAATCGGAATCTTGTCTTTAACATTTGAGAACAGAGCAGCAACTTTTTTAGATGTATGAAATGAGATACGACAATCCATATACGTGCTGATCAGTTTAGAAATATGTTCTGAAATGCCATTGATATACTCCAACGAATAGAATTGTGTAATATTACTGCTTGTCATCACAGG